AAAAATCATTCAACTTAATGTTTTACAATAATAATAATAAAAAAAAAAAAAACATTCATTACATCATTATTGGGCATTGTCATAATCCAACTTAAACTTAGCAAAATCTTCTTGGATTTCCGCCGCCTCCGGACATTCAACAAGGAACTGCTGCATGGTCGATGTAATGCCCAAAAGACGGTCCACCCACTAAAAAAAATAAAAGAATAAAAAAATATGACTGAAATTTATTAAAATAAAATTACTGTAATGAAATAACATTAATTAAAATTTATTAACCAACTTAGATAGGCGGTATTGACACGCGTTGGGACCTCGTTCTCGTCCGGCAGCTCCTCTCCCATGAGAGTCGGATGGGAAACCCGACTGTACCACTGCAGGTAATCCTCAGTCTCCTCCCCGCGATCCTGTGTGGTGGGGGTCAACATACCGGTGTTGACCGTCCCAGAAATCGGGAACTGGGTCCAGGAACCTACTGCAGCAGCCTCAGAATGCTCAACCTTGTAGTTCCTAGACTCCCAAACACGTACTGCACTGATTGGCGGGTATGTAGGGGGAGGGACAGGCTGGACATACCCCAACTGACGCAGATACCGCGCAGGCAAGTACGGCTCGACGACATCGCGGTATCGAATCAATCCGCTATAAAGAGTCCTCGGCTCTATCGCATCTGGGCTGGAGCTGCCGTATGGCAACCATTACACCTGTTCACAATTGCATAAGAGCATTTATAAAAATAATTATATTATTTTAAATAACGGGTAACTAAATTTAAATAAAATAACTTCCCGTACATCGGAGGCAGTGAGTCTGTCGAGGCGCCGACGGATGGCTGTGAGCCGATCGTCTGACCGTGGCGCATTCCCTACGCTCCACGAGCGTGATCGTGCGAGACAGTCAGGACCGATGGGTAGACGCCCCCAGGGTCGGAAATTGGGGAAATACTCATATATCCAAGACTGCAGAAGAGTCAAGCAGCCCGACATCTAGGCAGAGTCCCCTCGGCTGGCAATACCTAGTTGTCTGTACATGTATGTCAGCGTAGCCGATCCCCATGAGTAACCCCCAATCAAATCCAAGCCGTCGAGCACCTCGTGTAGGAGCTTGGGGGTCACTCTACTACCACTCTTGTCGAGGAACAATGTGGTAGCCAGCATCACCCACATCCAGGCACCCGCCTCATCTCTAGCCGGCCGGTGTTTCCCCCTGAATGCCCCCGAAATGGCGGCTTCGGACACCAAACCACGCTGCCAGAACGAACTCATGAGTTCGCCCTTGGTGACCGAAAGTATCGACATGCAGAGCCCATGGCAGGCGTCCAAATCCGGGTCCTCAGCGACCACGGCTCCCTCCACTGGAACGCCCAAAATGGCCCGGACGTCGTGCAGCATGATGCTCATTTCACCAAAAGGCAGGTGAAAAACGAGTTAGTATCCGGCTGCCATCGCTCCACGAACGCAGAAATGAGTGGGGTGTCCAACTGGGTGTGCATGGAGTCGGCCAAATGAGACAGGCTGGTCTGGTCGATAAGAGCTCTCGCATCGGAAGACATCTCTTCACGCCAAGCCTTCAGATTCTCGACTGCTCTCAGTCTATTGTGGCATTTCAGCGGCCCCCTCAAATCTCTACTCCACATGCGGGAGGTGACGTGCCCTAGAAAGCTAGGGATGACACTCCCATCAATGGGCCCACCGGGCACTGGGCCTTTAACGATTCAGGGTGCATCATCATCGGTCCTAGCTCGTTTGCTAGTACCTGCATTAAAATACAACATATCTGTATATATTGACTTGCTGGCAGATGCATTAAATAAAATATATTTAATAAAACATATTTCATAAGTTTACCGTTCTTTTTTTTTCAATTAATGTACAAACGTTACATTTTACATTAATAAAATATAATGAAAATTTTAAACTAATTTATTATGTAACATTACTACTAATTGATTATAACAATAATAAAAATAATTATAATAATTTTCTAACTAATTAATTGTATGGTTCTTCTAAATTACAAAATAATTATACCGTAGTTGAGGAGCAGGCCGATAATACTTTTCTAACAGTACCGATAATTTGTTATGATTAAGTGAAAATAATTTATGTGAAACAACAATAAATACGTAAATTATTTACCTGATGAGGATGAAGATGGGCCAAAACGCCCCTCAGCCTGTCGTTGAGGAGCAGCCTGTGTAGGACGAACAACCTGTACCGGATGAACATGCTGTAGAACCGGCTGTACCGGACGAACATGTTGTACAGGAGGACGAGGGTGGTTAGGACCCGTAGGCTGTGCGTGGTCCTGATCATCTGAAGAGTCGTCCGAGTCATCTTCCTCTGGACCCTGCTCCCTTTCGCCGTACGACTCATGATCAGCATACCCCTGCTGACCATAAGGTAATGGTACGCGTGCGATTTCCCTGCGTAGCGGGGAAAAGCATATCCCAACTGATCGTACGGTCCTGGTGCCGGGGGCATCGAAATGCCTGCCTGGCCAGGATAATAAATCCATGCTCGCCGTACGGTAGGACTCCGCGGGGTCGCGAACTATCTGGCTGACCCTGCGGACCATCTCATGCTGGTGCGGGGGGTCTCGAACTCTGCCTAGCCTGAAGAGTCTGTACCCTCCGAGCCTCATTGATCAACGTCTGTCTGTCCCGACAAACGGACGCATTGACACCCCGACTTCTAGTGTGTCGCGTGCCAGAACCATCATAATAGTCATCGAACGCCTCGTCGTCGTCCCTGGCACTAGATTGTCCAGGTCTGCTAACACCCTGAATCAGAAATATAATTATTAAACTTTTCCAAATGTAATGATTATTCTAATAACTATTAAAATAGATTATAATTCATTTTTATTTTCATATATAAATTTTATTAATTATTATTATAATTATAATTGTTGAGATTTATAATATTTATTATAATTTTTTAGCTAAATTATTATAATTAATATTAATTTATAATTATTATTATATTTAATTATAATTATCATTACAAATTATTATTATTATTTCTTATAATATTATTATTATAAGCATTTATAATTTATAATTATTAATATTATTAATATTATTTTTAGAATTTATAATTAATTACAATTTATTCAACTTATTATTATTATAATACTTAATAATTATTATTATAATATATAATTATTATTATAATTTATAATTGTTATTATAATTATTTCTAATTTGTAATTATTATTATTTTAATTACAATTTATAATTAATTACAATTTATTCAACTTATTATTATTATAATTATTATAATTATTATTATTATTATTATTATAATTATTTATAATTATTTATTATTATTATAATATAAAAAAAATTAAAAACTGTCTGGCCGGCTCGTGACCGGCCGGCGGTTCAGCCGTCCGGAACCGGACAATTTTAGGGCCGTCCGGTTCGGCCGACCGGACGATTTTTCGGCCGTCCGAAATCGACGACCGGACGGCCGCCATCCGTCCGGAAACGACGGCCGGACGGCCGGTCAGTTTCAAAAAAAAAATTTAAAAAAAAATTTCCGGCGTAAAAAAAAATAAAAATAAAAAATATTACCTTGTTAGAGAAGAGTCCTTTGCCGATGACGTAGGATTTTTTCTACATTTTTTCGGATTTTTTTCGGTGCTCGAATCGCTCGTTGAAAGTTCGAAAATTTAGAGAGATAAAAAGTTTAGAGAGATAAAGTCTGAAAAAGAGTTAAGGGCAAAAGAGTAAATGAAGGGGCGGTGACTAGTAAAAGGAGGGCGGTGAATAGCAATTGAGCAAATTTATGGACCTACAACCGGCAATTCCAAAATATTTATGTACAAAACCAATATCGAATAAAGACCAGAATTTATTTACAGGTACAAAAATTTCACAGGTAAACTCGGTAATCAAATATCAAACAATAATCAGGTCTATCTTCCAGAATTACAAAGAATAAACTTAATATAACATAAGGAATACAAATTATAGACTTTTGATTCTTGCCCCCCGATCACTTGGGGCTGTAAACAAAACCTCAGCCTGCAATGACTAACAATGAATCGAATAAACACCTACACAAAACACAATTACTAGGTACATTTACCCACACGTCCAATAATCAAACTCAACTGAATACTCTTTTTCTTTGGCCATTTTTTCAGCAAACTATGATATAAGAAAAAACCTACGAGGTGCCATAGCCCAGATGATCCCACACAAATGGAGAGCACAAATTGCTCTTCCGAAGAAACGGATGTCCTCTCAGGAAAACACATACGCACACACACACAGCAGCAATTATGAGCACTGAGTTGAGGTACGGCCGCTGCAGAAGCCCGTTTGAGCCCGGGAATCTTTTACTGTATGCACACGCGGCTGCGCATCTCAAGCAAGGGCCTCCCGATTTCGGGCTTTGGCTGCTGATGTCAGCAAAATTGTTGCTGGAAACGGGTTCCACCTCGATAGGCTTGATCTCGTCCGTAATTGATACGGAGATCTGACCGTTTTCGACCTCAGCAAGCTTACGGGCAACAAGGTCGTTGTAAGAGTGGTTGTTTCTCATTGAGGCGTATGCGTAAGGGGAGAGCCCGTTTGCATCCAGAACTGAGTTCCAACTATGCAAACCAATCTACAGAGATAGAAAAACTAGTAAGAAATCATAACCCACTCTCCCCCACCATTCGGGGGATTACAGAAAAGCCTAGCCAAGTTTTGTTNNNAATTTGCTGAAGTCGTCAAATATCTCACAATTGCATTTATCTACTATGAAAATATAACGATTTTTGTCATCAGGTTAATAGCGATAATTGGAAGATTTAAGAAACGTAAATGAGAAATGCAAGATAAATACAAGTTACTGATATTTGTAAATATTGAGAGATGCATTGTAAAACAAATAATGTCGATATCTGCAAAATGTTTCTAGTAAGTTTTCAAGTTACCCGTTCTGCTCTTATTTTTGTTGTTGTTAATTTATAATTATTATTTTGGACAAACACATCAAGGATCGTTATGTAACTATATTAGTGACTGAACAAAGGAAGCATACCGCCTGTGGATCGTTTGTCAGAGCATCAACAATGGCAGCCGAAGATGACATACAGGCCGCCAAATGCAAAGGCGTGAGGCCACTGGGACCCGCCAAATTTGGGGGATATATATATTTCCGAGATAAGCCATCAAAGTCGGCCACATAGTAATTAACTAGCAAGTCAACCATGGTCCCACACCTCTTCCGGACAGCACGATTCAACAAATGAATCTCGGATAGCATCGCAAAAGATTCCGTCGCTAATGTCAATCCTTTTGCGCCCAAATTCAATTCTACCAAAATGTCTAGTAGGGTTTTGACCAGGGCACAGAAGTCATGCTCGACAGAGAATACGAGAAGGTATTTGAAACGAGAGAGCCTGTAACGTGGGGAGCGGAAAAAGGAAGAGGTACTCTTTCTTTGAAACAGCCACCCAAGTTCATTCAAGAAATGCAGGACTTCTTGCCTGGACCAGCATCTCCCTGAATCTTGAACAGGATTGTTGGGCCCACAAACTTCGGCAGATGTGCCATTGATCTCAGGCTCCAGGAGCTTCAGTTCTTGACATATCGTGTTATCTGCTATAATTACTGGGAAAGTAGTGCTCCTACAACTGTTCTCTACCTGTTGACAATAAGAGGATTCAAATATCAATTACTTTTTTCAATTTTTCCTTTTTTCTTTTTTTTAG